CTTGTAGATTGTTGAATAAACCAATTAACGATCTCTACGGCATCTTCAGTAACGAAACACGTTACACTGGTGTCAGAAGTGGGATCAGTAACGCAAACACGTTACAATATATATATATATATATATATATATACATACATGCATATAAACACAACTTGGAAATACGAGCAACTAGAACACACCACTAATCTCCACAATTCACAAATCATCACAGAACACACTAAGCCTTTTCCAGCCTGCTGTGTCTTAACCATCCATTCCTTGGCAATGGGTTCTAGCAGTTGAGATTCTTCAGCTTCATGATCTCATATCCTATCTTCACAGATCCCCTTAGAGAACTATTAACTAACTTCGTAACTTACTTATAACATCTTGACATGGACCACACAGAACACATTCAGTTTCAAACAGTAACTCTATTGTTGGGTTCATATTCATTTCTGCGGGAATGTGTTTACCAGGCTGTTGTCCAGAAATGGTCATTGTTTACAGAATCACCACTTGGTAACAGGTCTATATGCCACACTGCTTCCTCCTTAAGGCTAATCATCTCGAATGGCCTACAGACATATCACCATTTCTTCTCTTCCAAGCGCTGTGCTTGTGATGACTACAATTGGCCTCACTATTAACAACCAGTTGCTTAGTTCTCACAATGATTACATTCCAGATTGTTCCCACTGACCTTCCTCAAGGCCGCTCATCCTGAGTGGTTTCTTGACAAGATGCCAGTTGGTCCAGGTGTACTACCATCAATCTTCTTTTCCACATCATGACACACAACAGGATGCAAACAATAAAGATCATTCTTTCAGTCAGTGTGGGCAAGAGTAGCTGGTGCTTCTAGACCTCTGACTCTTACTCTGTGTGCCATCTCATTTTTCATTTCAGAGGGGGGTGAACTCTCCATAGTGTGCTGATGCTCATTTTTGAAATCCTGATGGAACACTCAGTTATTCTCTTTGCAACCTCCCGCCTGAAGTTCCTGCCAGATGTCCTCTCCTTCCTCAGATGTAGTTGCTTCTTTAAGCCTTGGATCCCTATTCCATTGATGCCTTCCAGTTTTGCCCAACAACACTTCCTGAACATCTGCCCTTTCTTAATTCTTGGTACAGTCTTGTCTGTGACAACACTGTCCCTTATACCATGCATGAATGGCATGGCAGGTCAACTGTCCTTGGCCAGTGTGCAAATTCTTCCGGTACCTACTACTGTCCTGGGTCTGTTTCTTTGACTGACTGCGGCATCTTATGGCTAGATGCTGCTCCTCCAGTGCTCTGAAAGTTTCCACTGCAGCATCTTCCTGAGGAAATTCCTCATGCTCTGCCTCAGACTCTATTTCTTCTGAATTTTCCTCCAAATCCGTGGCCTCTGTCTTCCCTAGACAGGCCTCTATTTTCTCTACCTGGCAGTCCATCCCAGGCATCATCCTTTCATGATGTGCATCAAATTTGACCAGCATTACTACTTTCAGCAGTTCTTGCCAGCTCTCATGTCTTCTCTCATAGCCCTTAGATTGGCATCTGCTTTTGCTTGGTTGGTTTTTATGTCCTCTTTCATTCCCTTTAAATTGGACACTGCCCTGGCTTGGTTGTTCCTTATTTCCACTCAGTCGGTTCTTATTTGAGCCAGGATGCATTCCATCATTTGTTCAACTTCTATAGTTAGTGGTATAGCTTCTTTCTGCAGTCTTCAATCCAACCACTTCTGACAAACCGGTATCACAATTTAGGGGTGACTATAGGCAGGGTTCGGATTGGTGATTGGATTTACTGACCATTTATACACATGACTCAGAACTACAAGTGATTACAGTGCCACCACTAATCTTCACAATTCACAATAGCCCTTAGATTGGCATCTGCTTTTGCTTGGTTGGTTTTTATGTCCTCTTTCATTCCCTTTAAATTGGACACTGCCCTGGCTTGGTTGTTCCTTATTTCCACTCAGTTGGTTCTTATTTGAGCCAGGATGCATTCCATCATTTGTTCAACTTCTATAGTTAGTGGTATAGCTTCTTTCTGCAGTCTTCAATCCAACCACTTCTGACAAACCGGTATCACAATTTAGGGGTGACTATAGGCAGGGTTCGGATTGGTGATTGGATTTACTGACCATTTATACACACGACTCAGAACTACAAGTGATTACAGTGCCACCACTAATCTTCACAATTCACAAATCATCATAGCATCTGCTAAGTCATTTTCGGCCTACTGTTTTCACCAGCTGTTCTCTAGGAACGTCATCTAACAGTGGAGATTCTTCAGCTTCACACACTCAGGTCCCATCTTTGTGCAGAACTCATTATCAACTAACTCTGTCCCTTGCTTATAACAAATTGGTATAGACCACATAGAAAATACACCGTTTCCAACAGTAAATCTTTTGCTGTATGCATATGAGGTGTAGCAGAAAGTTCTTGGACTAGGTCAAAAAATAAATGCTGATTTAATTTACTCAATTTTGGCTGCCATCTCCTTCGAAATAGTCTCCTTGGGAACATATACAGCGATCCCATCCTTTTCCATGCTTCAAAAGCACTGTGGATGTCAGTTTCCTTAATGCTGTTGAGTACCGCATGCAATTCCCTTTGGATGTCAGACAGTTTAAAAATGTCATCCTTTCAGTTTCCTTTCAATTTGGGAAACAAAGCGAAATCACATGGAGCTAAGGCTGGCGAGTAGGGAGGATGGGGAATGATAACCATGTTCACTCTGTGGTTCTCAGGGATGAGCGGACAGTCATGTTGTCATGATGAAGGAGACAGTTGTGGTTGAGCCAAAGTTCTGGTCTTTTTCGTTGCACATTTTCTCTCAAGCGTCTCCAAATATCACAGTAAAAGATAAGAGTTGACCATAGTGTCAGGTGGAACAAATTCACGGTGATCAATCACCTTCATGCCGAAAAGAAAAACTATGATCATGCTCTTTGTTGAACTCCAGACCTGCTGTGTCTTTTTTGCTCTTGGGGATTGTGGCTTCTTCCATCGTGACAAATGTTGCTTTGTTTCTGGATCATAACCGTAAATCCAACTTTCATCACTCGTTATTATCATAGAGATATGAGTAAAAGTTTGGTTCTCATTAACCTACTCTTGTGGCTCAAGACACATGTTTACAAGTCACTGCTTTGGATCATTTGTCAAGTTAAGGTGGACGCAGCTTCAGTCACTGGCTTAAGGTGGATGTAGTTGCTCTCAATAAGTCAACTAGCAATGACTTCGAAGTATTGGGCACCAGCTCACATCGGTGAACACGAGATCTTTCACAGGGTCATTAAGTGGGCCTCGGCTCCAGCAACAGAGTCCACAAACCACAGACAACAATCACACAAACACTTGACACTTTATTATAATGCACGAGTTACATGGTTGAATTGTATCTGAAACTTTTATTGGGTATAGCCCTTCGTTATGTGCGAGATGCGTGACGCACGTCTTTCTTATTTGAGAGCCAGGACACATCTGTCTGAAACAAAGAACTGCATAGGGCATCAAGCTATGGCTAGTATGATGTCACACTGGGTAACTAGCAATTCTGATTGGCTGTACCACTGGGAAGTCCCTAGCTAACTGCTTAGGAAGCTTGCATCATACAACCCTGAGCAACAGGTGGAACTCTGGAATTATAAAACTCCTCAAGTCACGCCACCTTCTACTCAGCATATAGTGCATAGAGTAATATAATGCATAATATTATACATAATTTTACAAAGTCACAATTGATTAAACCTTATAATAATACAACGGTTATCACAAAATTAATTTTATATATAAATTTGGTGAAGTATATAATTAAAAAGAATAACTGGTTATAACCTTGTATTTGTTGCCATGGGAACATGTTTACTGAGCCATTACCCAGAAATGATCATTGTTTGCAGAATCACCACTTAGTAATAGATCTATATGCCACAGTATCTTACATGTGATTGTTTTGAAATGCAGTCCTGTATATAAAATAAAACTGACAAAACAGATGTATGTCTGATATACAGCTACATCTCTATGCCTGGCCACGTGTTTGGTCTGCTTGGGCAAAACCTTGAACAGGCTGAGACTTCTGCAACCCTCGTGGGGCACTTTAGAAGGCAAAATCACTGCTTAGAATTGGAAAATTGAGTTGTAAATAAATCTCTGATGTTCTTCCATGCCTAAAGAAATATTTTAGAAAAACAACAGTCATTAAGTTCATAATTTAACTGAGATACCTTGATTAAAATATCTCGATGATATAATAAAGTTTAGGGTGTATGAACTTTATGAAGGTGTTTATGAGATAAGCAGAGGTCTTCTTGCAGCACCGTTAGATATTTGTCTCATTTTCATACCTTATGAGACAACAATGGCTGGTTGGAGAAAACCATAGTTATTTCAAGACTTTGTAACTCTCAGAGCAAGGCACAAAGCAAAATCACCCTTTAGAAATTGATGATTCAATTATAAATAAATATTTTAGACAAACACAAGGAAAAGCAGCTTTATCCTGCTGAACTAAAAGAAAATTTAATAACACCAGATGTAACAGGGAAGCATATTGCCTTTATGAAGTAGAAACTATATTTAGAGAGAAAGAGTAACACTTTATGGATGATAAAGTTTCATAAAACTCACAAGGTAGCCTGTGGCAGGAAACAGATTTCTGCCATCAACAATATGTCCTGACAAGTATTCTGTTGATTCATCCTGCAAGCTGATGGACACAGATCGCTCACGAGATTTGTCTTTGGACTGTAATAAAATTATAGATTAGGCTTGTACATAAAGCAGTAAATTATTATTATTATTATTATTGTTGTTGTTATTATTTATTTCATCCATAGCTGTAGAGAATTACAATTGGACATGTCAAATATCAACAACCTCACATAAAAAATAACATAAGTAAAAAATAACATAACATTCACACAGTGATTCATCACTATAATACAGCAATACATTTCAAAATACATTTTTAACTAAATTTAAGAATAATAAATACTCCAAAAAAAGACATAAGAATAAATATTTTAAACATATAGACAGATTTATTAACAAGCAGATTACGTCAACAATTAATAATAATAAATACTCCAAGACAGGCATAAAAATATACAGACAGATTTATCAACAAGCAGTCCATGTCAACAATCATTAAAAAATTCTTGAAGAGACTAGAAGACATTACACAATAAATAATTCCTAAGTTTCTTCTTAAAAATATTAAAATTTATTACATTCTTTAATTCAGTTGGAAGGCCATTAAATATTTTGGTTCCCATACTAATCACCCCTCTCTTGCTATGCTCAGTATTACAAAATTGTACATAAAAATTGTGTTTATGAATAGTGTTATAGCCATGAACATCAGAATACTGGTTGGTATAAATCTTATTTTTTATTATAAAACATAGGATCTCAAAAATATATAAGGAAGTAACAGTTAAAATCTTTAATTCATGAAATAAATTTCTATAGGAAACTCTATTTTTAACACATTTTATCACTCTTATACATTTTTTCTGCAGTTTAAATAGAGTTCTTTTGCACCCCACCCCCAAAAATAATACCATATTTCAACACAGACTCAACTTTTGCAAGATACACATTTCTTAAACAGTTTGGCTCACTGAGTCCCATAGGGATTTTATCAAACAGGTAGACTTGCTAAGTTTTTGACCACATATTGGGTGTGGGTTCCCAACTTAAATCTTCAGTAATGCAAATACCCCAAAATTTTACATCCACTGAACAAACCACCTCCTTATTATTTATATAAAAAAGGGGTCTGGTAATTTGAATACATCTACTTCCCCGAAAAAATAATACCTTTGACTTATCCATGTTTATTAATAAACGATTTTCATAAAATCATTTTTCTAATTGAGTTTTTACATTTTGAATTTCTTCACTTAATGATAAAATATGATAAAATAAATATTCCAGTAATCAATATATTTGTATCATCAGCAAATAGTACTACCTCTGCATTATGTATAACTTGGAGCAGATCATTTATAAATAATAGGAATAAAAGGGGTCCCAAAACAGAACCTTGAGGTACACCATATTTACTTGCTTTAAGGGATGAGGTAACTGTCTTCATTTTTGAAGTCTTTTGATCCATATAGTGAATTTCAACAAACTGTGATCTATCTGTAAGATATGATCTCATCCATGCATGAGATATTCCTCTCAGTCCATATGGTTCCAACTTTGAAAGCAGCAAATTATGATTAATAACTTCAAAAGCCTTTGATAGATCGAGAAATATACCAAAGGCCAGTTGTTTATTATCTAGTGTTTTCTGAATTTCTCCAATAAAAGTTTGAATTGCCATAAACATGGATTTATTTTTTCTAAAACCATTTTAAGCATTTCATATCAGATTGAATCTATTTGAGAAATTTACAACCCTATTGTACCTGAATGTTTCAAGAATTTTTGAAAAAAAAAACAGACAAAATTGATGATAAACATAATCTGAAGACAGTGACAAAAGCAAAATTATGGCATGAAAGTATACGTCTTTGACATGTAACTCAGATATGTGAGACAAGGTTTAAAATTTAGATATTTCTATACAACAAGAGATACAAATTTGATATACTTCTGTCTAGAGCCCTAGTTTGTGACACTGGTTGAGGGGTAACTGTCCAGTTTTCCCAGAGCATCTCTGCTTTACAGTATTTAGGCCAATAACAGTTTAACCTCTTAACTAAGGGCCAATTCTGCCAAGCTGTTCCACAGTAATTTAGTAAAGCTTCATACGAGTAATAACATCATGGGTACTGTATGGATTCCCAAGGTGTAAGAAATATTAGTAGCATTTAACTATAACTATATATGAGAAACTGCAACTAACTTCAAAGTAAATTTTGTATCACACATAGAGAACAACATGGTGACAGAGCAATATTTTTATTGAGGTTACTCCACTGAATGTTTGAGAAGATAAAAGGTACTCTTATACATTATAATCTTATAAGGTGAGAAATAAAAACATGGTGACAAGATGACACTCCAAGGTTTATGTCTGATAACTTTGATATAATGGAAAAATAAAACACTAGAAATGTGTACAAGGGAGAATTGATATTGTCATGTGTCTGGGGTTCTGTGATAAATAATTGTGGATTCTGGATTTTGGGAAGCAGTTTATTGGAGAATTATGCCAGGCAGAACTACAGATAATTATCACACACGATAGTCATAACACCTCACAACTAGGAGCAATGATCACACTCTCATGTTCACTGTAACTATGACACACTTCTGTTGGTTCTCATTTCGCTTCTGTTCTGGTCTTGTCCCCCTTCTGGTTATCTCCACTCTGGTCTGATCTGAGCTATCCGGTCTTAATTCTGATCTCCTTGGATCTGATCTCGTTACGTCTGTTGTAATCTCCCTGAGGTAGGTTCTTAGTGTACCGAATAGCAGACACTGTCTCTAAGTGTTGCTATTTTGCATTTTCTGATGCAACGGCCTCCAGCATATTGGTGCCATGAGAAATGAAGCGGTTCAGTAAGCATTACATAGGAAACTGATACGTGAAGCTCCAATAAACAGGTGGGGGATCAGGCTTTCAGGCATCGCATACCAAACACCCTAAAGGTATATCACCTTTCTTTTCTTTTGAGGGCTGTATTTGGGGCGTCTGTATTCAGCCTTGCCATTCTTCAAGTGGCTCATTTTCTTTTTCTTGTGGTGTTCATTCTGCCACTGTTACTACCTCTCCCTCCTTACAGGTGTTCATCCAAATCGGCTGCCTTATGAGGTTTCATGAGTCAATCCAGGTGCATCACCATCATGCAGAGTTCTTCTTTTGCAACGGTGAGGGCAAAACTATCCTGAGTGGCCGGCACTCCCACATTTCCTGCTTGTACTCCACGTCAGAGCTCTTTTTCCATTTAGGAGGGGGCTGACCATTCCAGTGTCCATTTCTTTTTTTTTGTATTTGTCGGATTGCCGTGTAGCACGTCTGCTACCCAGCCCTTCAGGGCTATTATTAAGTACGTCGATTTTTTGGTGCGACCTCTGGTTGTGCTCCACTATGGTCTCGAACTGGCACCGGAACATGCTCCATGATGTACTTCCGTCAAATGTTTGTGGCTGAGGACCACCTCTGTGGTCTAGTGGTCAGAGTTCCTGGCTACAGATCCAGAGGACCCGGGTTCGATTTCCAGCGCTATCAGATTTTCTGAGAAGTAGTGGGTCTGGAATAGGGTCCACTCGGCCTTGTGAAGATAACTGAGGAGCTACTTGAATGGAAAAGTAGAGGCTCTGGTGTAGAAAACCGAGATTAATGGCCGTGGGGATTTGTTGTGCTGATCACGCAACACCTTTTATCCACTAAAGTTGGCACCAACTTTGCCTACAAGCAGCGGTCGCTTGGTTGGTATAGTTCGCTTGTGGACTAAACCCACAGAGCTTGTCATTTTTTTGTTTGTGGCTGAACTGCGCTTGAACAAGCTGCTAGTCTACTTCTCTGTTTTGCAACGGTTTTTTCTTCTTCTGCGATCCACAAAGTCCTTGAGTCATCTACTTTGTGAACATGTTTCCCTCCTGCCATGTCACTTTTGGTGTGTTGTCCCCTGTGGGCAACGGCCAGTCTCTTCCAGGATCCTCACTTTTCCCGTTTTGTCTCCTTCAGTATCTGTAGGCATCCTGCAAACAGATTTCGGTCCCATCGCTTTTGCATCAGTCTTCCTACCGGCATCATTGCGGCATCTCCCCTAGGGACTTCTTGATGTGCCATATCTGGTTTCATGTCCACTGAGGTCGACTCCTCTCATTCAGGATGTGTCTCCATCTTTTCTTGGCAGACCATCGTCTCTTTTCAGGTATCCTCTATCTGAGATTGCATAGATTGCATTGCGGCTTTCATTTCTTCCCACCAGGCATTCCTGTTGGTCTTCACCTCTTCCATCTTGGTTCTCTGGGTTCTCAGTTCATCCTTTATGGATTTCAAGAGTTCCAATATCTGTTCCATGTTTGTAGGCAGTCTTTAATATAATTCAATCACTTCTCACAACAACTGTGGCATGTTTAAGGCCGTAAACACTTCCTGACACCAAATTTTGTCATGTGTCTGGGGTTCCGTGACAAATAATTGTGGATTCCAGACTTTGGGAAGCGGATTATTGGAGAATTACGCCAGGTGGAACTACAGACAATTATCACACATGATGATTATAACACTTCGTAACTGCGAACAATGATCACACTCTAATGTTCACTGTAATAATACCACACGAAGGTTTCTGCAGTTCTCCTTTTGCTACTGTACTGATCTTTTCTCTCTCCAGGTTATCTCCGCTCTGGTCTGATCTGATTTGATTATATCTGGTGTAATCTCCCTGAGGTAGATTCTTGGCATACCAAATAGCAGACACCACCCCAAAGGGTTCCTATTTCACATTTTTCAATGAAACAGCCTCCAACATATTAGTTGCCGCGTGAACTTCACCTGTTCCGGTTTTTCACTTGTGCGGTAACGTCTCTTATGTATGCGTTGTTGCTTCATCCTATTTCACTGTCACCCCGACAACGCTAAGGAACTGTCGATACCTAGCCGTCGCCTAACAGTGGGCGTTCGCTTTGACTCAGACATTCTGGCTATTAGGCAGCATGCCACATTGCTCCCCCCTTAAGGCTCTTCGTCCCGAACAGTATAGTATTTAATTTATGTGGTAATCTCCTGCTTATGTGTGCATTACCATGAAAACACCTACAGTTCTGCCACAACTTATGTGATTAGCCGAGTGTTTCCTTGGAAGTGCATGTATACTAGTCCCACGGTAAGCCATTGTCACGGGAAGGTGCTTTGTTAACGCTTGTTGCCTACAAAATAAACTTTGACCTCACTCAAATGTTCCAGCTTTTAGGTGGCACACCACAATATGTTCAGTGAATGGTGTTGTTTAGCCCTTTGACAGGAAGCTCTGGCATGGAGTGATCTGCTGTTAACAAAAGGCTGCTTGAGATAAATTCAGTCACAAGGAAGAATTATGAAACTTCCTCAGATTACCTCCAAATGACCACAGGTACAACTAGTTGAAAGCCAATTCTCTCCTCTAGACATCAGTACATCACACTTGATGCCACCTATCGACAGCAATGTTGTACTACATGATTAACAATGAACAGAACTTTTTGGCTGTGGCAGTTTTATGCAAGTACACTGAGCCATTCCAATCAGCTCATGTAGTGCAAAGTGTTAACAACAAGTCATGCAAAATCATTCTGTATTTAGCTGTATGTGGCTATCGCAGAAAACATGCGAGTTCATAGACAATCAAAACATGGAGTTACCTCTGTCGTGCAGTGCATGACGTACCAGTCCTCTGAGTGCTCCCAGCGGACCAGTGGTGAAATCATTGGAGTCCCCCTGCTTACAGGATACTGAACTGGGGGATACAAGTTTGCCAGCTGTGGCTGCAAACCCAGCTCGTACAATCTGCAACAGTTAGAATACCACTACTAGTACTGTTCTGTGCAATAAAACAGACTGCAATATGCAAGCCTCATTAACCCTTTCAGTGGTAACTCTTGGCATGTCAGTGACTATGATGGATGTCTGTCATATCAACCACAAATATATTCGTTTTCAGTGTACTGAATTTTTCCTCACAAGAACCCTAAATTACATTTTTTTTTGTGTGTGGAAATACTTTGCTGGTATATCTGAATTTTGATTGTGAGATCTTGTTTTACTTTAAAATGCTGGAGTTTAGTGTATGTGTTCTCAACATATGACTGCCTCTGTGGTCTAGTGGTCAGAGTTCCTGACTACAGATCCAGAGGTCCCGGGTTCGATTGCCGGCGCTACCAGATTTTCTGAGAAGTAGTGGGTCTGGAATGGGGTCCACTCAGCCTTGTGAGGATAACTGAGGGATTAGTTCAAGGAAATAGAGGCTCTGGTTTAGAAAATCGATATTAACGGTTGTGGGGATCCACTGCGCAGACCACGTGGCACCCTCTTATCCACAAAAGTTGGCACTAACTTCGCTGATAAGCGGTGGTCGCTCGGTCGGTATAGTTCGCTTGCAGACTACAGGCCACGGAGTTTTCATTTTGTTTTCGAGGTATACTCAAGGCATGCAAACAAGCCATTAAAATACATGTTCCAATAAGTGAAAGAAATAAATAAATGTCACTAAAATAAGCAGGGCAAAATTAATGAGTGTAAAATACAAATTTGTTGATAAAATTCAATTCTGTTCAAAATTGGACAAGCTGGATTACATTTTGCTTGCAGGCCTAAATAAGTTTGAAATTTTGTCAGTAAACAATGAACCAACTTCCACAGCTGATATTCTGTCACTAGCTGAGGGGACAATTGGACTTAGTCTCACCACAATGACCTGAGGATCTACTTCATGATCATGATGAATACCAAACAGACAAAGGAATGTTTCTGACAAAACTTGTTGCTTCACATGAGAGGAATCATTTATGTTACAAATATTTTCTAAAATATTTTCAAGTCAATGAACATTACATACCTAGAAGAAACTTCAGGAATATATAAATATAGAAATGTGCATATGATCTGGCTGCTTTGGTTCCAGGGCATCAATTCTGTTCAATATTTCTATCCTCTACCCACCAATGCAAGAGCACATAATCCTTTTCTGAAGTGGTGGAACTCACAGGACCTTTGTCCTAATGGTATTACAATTTAAAGGATTATGGTTGCCAGAGAGGACCAACAGCTTGTGGGAACCTCCCACAGTGCATAACAGACAACTTCCGCAGTGCATCGAAAACGGGTGATATTTATACATCGCTTGCAGCCTGGCTCTCTGGACACCAACACAAACACTATCCAATCAGGGCTCACAATTGCAGCAATATTTATACATTGCTTGCAGCCCGGCTCTCTGGACACCAACACAAATGCTATCCAATCAGCGCCCATAATCGCAACTCCATCTCCAACTGGTCCATGCGCCGCCCAGCAGCAATGGTATAAAAATGAGGGCCTCCAACTGGCTACCATCAGTTTTCATCAGTCGACGCTTCACTGCAAGCAGGAGAACACAGCTCCACTCTCCAGTAAACAGGGCTGCACAGACTCTGCCAGCACACGCACCATAACAGCGCCAGTAGGCTGCCACAAGGAAACAAGCCGCGCATGCTAACTTGCTACAAGGAAGACTCAGCTAGACAAAATGGCCCTTGTAGGACCTCCACTCAGCAGTCATCATTAGGCCGGGCTAACCGCCACGAAAGGAGTCTTCACCAGTATTCTTCAGATTCTGTGATACCAGTTTTAAGTGTAGTAAACATTTATTGTTATAGTTACGTGATTGTCTCAACTAACATCAACATCCCACAAGCTTAATGTGGGGTCTTAACCAATGGAGTGGAATAATATCCTTTAACATCCCAAGTTTCATCTTTTACAGGGATGAATCTTTCAATATATATGAGTAGAAATTCTAGCATACAGATCTGACCAGGGACCAAAACCAGAGCCCTCTGAATGACAGTGCAATATCATATCCCAAGACCATGAGATCATCTTGTAATGCTGCCCAGCTTTCTGAATTCCTTTCCCTGTCAAACTTGTTGAAACCTCAAAATAAGATAAACAGTGTTCCTACTCTACACCTAACATGACTACCTATGATTTCATGGTATATTCTAAGAAGATACACACTTGCCCAGAGAAGTGAGGAGCCACTCAATGCTGTCTGGGTAACCTCGTTGGGTAAGGGCAATGTTGGTTATGCCCTTGTTGAGGGAATGTTCCAGGAAGGGATGCAGAAGCCCATGTGGAGCAATCTCAATAGTGATGGCATTATGTGGGATGTGTCGTGATGCCTCCTCAAAAAGCACAGGATTAACCAGGTTGTTGGTGATGTACTCTGCTGATGACTGTGTTGCTGCTGCAGTGTTCCATTCACTCTGCGGCACTGAAGAGCTCACCCAGTGAGGAGACCGGCGATTTGCACATGGGATCAGCTGCAGGGGCACAAGCACAACTATCAGAATACACTATTTCAACTATTAGGCACGTGTGAGTCTTAGATTTTCTACATCAAATTGAGAAATAATACTTTGTGCCATAGAGTAAATATGTTGTTGTGGCACAAAGAGACATCCACAATGGGAATCCCCAAAATCTTATTATAACCCACCACTGAAACTAGGTTTGTTGTATCCCCACTGCTGTGATCAATTTATTATGATGCAAAGGGGGGCACCCAAAATTCTTATAATCCCAACACTGTCACCAGTTTACTGTGTCACACAATTATGACACGCAAATTCTTATTATTACTTGCTGCTGTCAACCCAAAAAACGCTATCACCAAATTTTGGGACTCCAAACACTTGCCACCAATTTCTTGTGTCCCAACATGCTGCAACAAAATTTTGTTGTATCCCAAGGTGTAAATACCTCTACTCCAACCCTACTGGACACCTGTGCATATCTCCTATTCTGTCCAGTTAAATAACAATTATAAATAACCCAACAAACACTCAACATATTAAAAACACTAAGAAATACAATTCAATCAACAATTACATACATACTTCCTATTAACACACACAATCTGTGACTACACACCCTGCAATAACCTCTTAAACTTTACTGGCCATAGTCTACTAAACCTACATGGCATAAACCAAATTTCTACACTCAACAATCAGTGATCCTATTACTTTAAAGATCACGTAACAAAATTGTTTGTGCTTTAACATTCAATCAATAAAACAAATTTTATGTCTTAACAATTAATATGTTAACCAGACCTTATATACTCTAGAAACCAGTAAACCAAATTTCATACACTACCAATCAATCAGTTGACCATATACAGGATAGTTACTCTTGCAAGCAGACGAATCACAGAATAAAGATGGCTGGGATGCCATCTTGAAACTCCTTCACATAGGCTTGTGGGAACATCCCACACACTCTCACGCTGTTTCGCTGATCAACGGAAAACACTCACTCCTAAGTCAATAGCACATTGCTGCACATTGCTGTCAGCTCTCATATTTATACAGCACTCGCTGTCCAGCTCACTTTTCACCATCATGCGCGCTAACCAATCACATTGCTGCCACCACTCATATTTATACAGCACTCGCTGTCCAGCTCACTCGTAACCATCACGTGCATTAGCCAATAGGTGCTCACAATAGCAACTACAAGTCTAAGCTCCACCCACCAAGTTTGGTATAAAAGGTGCAACTCCAACTCAGCAATCATCAGTAACCATATCAGCCAATCAGTCATCACACTTAATCCAGAGCAATCGGTCTTCGGAGTCATCGGCTCTTCACTGCATCAGGGATGGCTGCCTCGGCTCTCCGGTAGTCATGCCCAACACACCAGGCAACTGGCGCAGCTGCTGCCACTCCAGTGACTGCTCTCCACAACCAGACATCTTCTGGCAACCACGCTCTGCAACCACGCAACTTCCGGCAACTTCCACACTGAGACCAGACAACTAACTCAGCTGCCGCAACATCAGCCAACATGCTGTAGCCAACAGCTATTTCTACCGGCGCATGCAGCACATCACTGGCCAGTCAGACCAACCGAACGGCTGTAAAACTCTGTCTACTCTGTCTAAGCTTTTTCGGAGTGGTTGTCTATTGGAGCATCGACAAATCCTACAGGATCTATGGGCTCTACCACATGACTTCTCCAATTGACCGTTCTGAGTGACTGATATAGTCAGACTGTTTCTCCCATCTAAGCCCGAAAAATATTCCACATTCTCACAACTCATGAAAATGTTTTTCACTCAATACCCTCAAGTCAGCAAATTCCTACTGGCCAATGACCTGTTGTGCAAAAGCGAGACCTGACTGTTGTTCAACCAATTAATTATGACCAGACTTCCTAATCCCTAATCCTTATAAATTTTAACTAGTAACACTAGTAATACTTTGTACATGGAGATATCTGAGGTCATCTAAAAAACACAAGGGAGGCTAAACAGATAGCCAGGTTACTGTAGTTAATATCCATAATTTTCTCGTGTGGCTCTGGCCTAGGATGTTCACAAGAGGTGGAACAAAAAAAACTGCTATGTCCTAGCAATGACTGTCTAAATGTCTGGCCCCATATATACATTACAGACACTGAGTGCCTTGTGTACCTTAATTGATTAAACAATGGCTTATGGCATTCCTCAAAATGTTGAAAAGTTAAACAGCTGGCCAGGAAACACAATTCTTATAAAATCTGAAAGTTCATAACAATATTCACACAGATCAACCAGGAAAATCTGTACTAACCCAGCTATATCTAACAACCAACTGGAAGAAATTAACCAACTCTTGCCATAGATTGCTACAAATATCCAATTCTAAACCAGTTCACACATTTAACAAACTTAACCCTGGATGTGCCTATTGTGAAAATCATTAGACTCATGAACACAGAAGGTACTTTACCTCCTTCAAATACGTGAGAAGGAGAGGCCCAACTGATGATACGTGCTTGCTGTGGTGAGCAATGTTGCCACAGTTTATCATCTCAGCAAATACGCCATCTTTTTGCAGAACTTTCAGAAAATTCTTCATAGACTCAGCTGGACCTGAGAGTATGCAGAATTTAGGCCCATTGTGGCAAGCCACCTTAATGTCAGGTGGACACAGCTCCCTGGCTTCCTGAGCACCAAGACCTGTAGGACCAGACCTTGATAAGAACCAAGCAGGCAAGCTCCATGGCAATAGCTTAGACTGGAAGGACACAACATATGTGGCAACTCTTTCATGCATACATACCACTCCTCAAACCACAAGAAAATGATACTAATGTGGACTGAGAACTCTAAATGCCTAATATCAATAAACAGTTAATTAATTCATTAATTGTTTTATTAAACAATGTGTTCTAAACCAATCTGCATCAAATGATGGATGATTAAGGATGTGAGGGGAAGTGAAATGGATGCAGGCTACTCTAAGGTGCCTTTTTAATGTGATCCTGATGACATTAAGGAAGAACACAAAAAAAGATGAGTTACATTATTCATTCTCTGTACACAAATTCAAAATCAAGAGCTCCTGATACAAACAATTTTATAGTATACTTCCTCATTTATGTGGCATTTAATGTCAGTATGTAGCTCAGACAATAGTGTTCAATGGTTGAAAAACTGGCCTGCAACAAATTCAAAGAATGAGAAAGGAAGCAGTCATGGACTAATTTGAAGTATTATCCTGCTAGCTAGTAGCCTGGAGGGACTAACGAAAACTACAAGAAAACTCAGTCAGGATAGTCAGTGTCCTGGCCAACTTGCTAACACAAGTCTATGGCCGTGCCATAGCTCAAGCGGTTAGTCGCTGGCTTCCCACCGCGTCGGCCTGGGTTTGATCCTGGGTCTGGTCAAGTAGGATTTGTTGTGGACAAAGTGGCGCTGGGGCGAGTTTTCTCCAAGTATTTTGGTTTCCCCTGCCAATCTTCATTCCACCAAATTCTCCATCATCATAATCACCTGGGGCAGGTACAATAGGCCAATCAGTGGCTGCCATGCCGAGTGGACCCAGCTGGACTATATCCCCCACTAAGCGAATTAAAAAAAAATATTAACATAAATCTATAGCACTACCACTCAAGCATGGTCAATATAATCCCATTCTTTTATCTTGATGGACAAGCAACAGACATGCATTTCTGAGCAATGTGACTGAATGTAGAAGACTTACGAACTACAGCCATTGAGCCCCTGATGAGCTCTGTTTCTAGAACTGCACGGCCACAGTAGTACGCTCCCAACATCACCTGCTCAGCCGTGAAGCAGCGGTCCATGTAACTGCAGCCCAGCTCTCCCAGTGAGAAGCCCACAAAGCCATCTGGCTCAATTCCCACTGCTCTCATGATGTCCACCAGCCCAATCTACATCAGAAACACATACCACCAAAAGCCTACATTCTTCTTCTTTCTGCTTTACATACAATGTAACATGTTTCTGGGCAAACCCATCCCTAAATTCAAAGAGGGTTCTAAAGGAAGATTTCACAATTTTGGCCATATTCTCTCGGCAACCTAAGAAGCAGAATAAATTACTCACTTACAAATACACACCTGGCAAGCTGCAATGCCCACAAAGCAATTTAGGATGTTACTGAAGATTCTGGAATCATCAGATGTGATGATATCAATCACATCTACTTCATGAGGTTTAAGAGCTTCCTGACATTTTCCAATGGCAGCTGCGAAAACTGGCAGTGTGAGGAGAGATCTCCCCATACCTGGCCATTGCGAGCCTATACCAGTGAACACAAACCAGACAGGTCGCTTGCCTCCAGGGTAAAACTGAAATGAACCAGTGTATGATATTATGTTCCCAAACTGCTACTGGATATTAAATATGTCTCCATTCTGGTTACAGTAGTACACAGTTCATATGATAAGATTTGCATGAAAGAAATATATATTAGCAAATCAACTCACCATAACACATGGTAACACACAAAGGAGATGAACTCATAAATCATTATGCTACCATGACACTGTGAGGGTCATACAGCATGTCAGAACATAATGGAAGGCAAGTCTCTGCCTTATCAGTAATACAACCCTGAACATCCCGCTCACAGCCAGATAATTTACAGACTGTGATTGATAGGTAGGTTCATCATTTGATCCTCTTTGTACAGGGTGGGGCGCAGAAACTTCCTCTTTTTGAAGGTGAATAAAAGAAAAATTATTGCTGATAGACCAAATTTATGTTTAGCTAATGAAAGAACATACTTTAAAGTTTAAGATCATGTAGTTTTAAACAAAATATCTTGAAGGTGGTGGCCACCGTTCTCTATGAACTGATGCAACCGTTTTCTGAAGTTACCGTCTGCATGTTCCAACATGTGCACCGGAATTTGTGCTACTTCCTGCTGAATAACATTCTTCAGCTGAAGCAGGTTTGTGTGGCAATGTTTAAAAACTTTTGCCTTGAGGTATCCCCATAAAAAAATCACAGGGCATTAGATCAAGTGAGTGCGCTGCCCACGGGATGTCACCTCGAAGCGAGACGAGCCGTCCAGGGAACTTTGCCCTCAAAACTGTCATCGAAGCTCAGGTTGTGTGGGCCGTGGCACCATCCTGTTGGAACCAGACATTTCCTAGATGCATTTCTTCAAGAGCTGGTTCAAAAAAGATCTCAAAATCGACTGTCGAACTGCCTCCACATTTTCTGTCATCCTTATGGTCCGTTGTCGTCCTGATGATTTTTTCACCACACTCCCGGTTGCCCTAAAGTTCTCTACCCATAAAACAATCGATTTCTGGTCAGGAACCGAACCTCTGGGCTTAATTCCGAAGTGAGTATGGAACGCACTCTGCACTGCCATGTAGGAATGGTTCTTTGAAAAATAGGCTTTGAAAGCAAATGCACGCTGCTCACTTGTCCACCTCATGTTTCCTACTGAGTAGTATTAGACAGAAACTTCTGCGACTACTGCATTCACTGAGCCTATCCACACTTTTCTGCGACCTACCTTCCCTTCATAATGCGTCTTCACAAAAAGGAAGTTTCTGCGCCCCACCCTGTATTTATATGATGATCTTGAAATGGATTACATTGTCCCAGAGAGACACCAAGAGCATCATTTCTGGCAGTCCTGAACTGGGTTGTATTTTAGTAATAGTTTTGAGATGCTCAAACATGTCCTGATATTTCGTTATGTAATTGCTGATTGTGGCAAAACATTTCCTTTCCCAAATTTAATTATTAATCTGCATTATAATAACAAAAGTTATTGAGTGAACTATAATTATAGTTATAGGCCTACAAAAAAAATTTTTTTTTTGGTGTCTAGGATTTTAGAACTAATTTTAGTTATATTTAAGGCGCTGAATCTAAATATAAAATCAGTTTTTCTCTACCAGCT